TTTGGAGAGATTTTTCGCTATAGGGCACGTGCGCTCGCCAGACAGACAGAGAGAAACATAGAGACAGAAAGCGAGAAATCACCCCCCAGGGGGATGGTCACGCCACAATCCCTTCTCCCCCATTCTCCTCTTGGGATCTTGGGCACGTACGCACACATGCCCGGCGTGAGTTTTAAGCCACCGGGTCCGGGACGCGAACCGTAGTCGACCACGTGGGAGTCCAGCGACATAGCCATTATGCCAACTGCTGGTTCCCTCTCTTGCCAGTCTTAGTATCCTGTCTTTGTCTGTGGTTTTGGTCAACCTGGCTATCATGTGTCTTGAAGAAGATCTTCTTGGGTTGATTCTATTTGGGGTCCTTTGTATTTCTTGGGATTGGATCTTTGAATGCCTCCCTAGGTTTGGAAAGTTTTATTGCAGGATTTTAGGGAATAGATTATCAATGCCCTTATGAGTCTCTTTGCCTTCTGGAATGCCATTTATCCAGATGGTTGGATGTTTAATGGTATCTAGTACTTCTCGTATATTATTCTCATTTTGGAGGGGGCAATTTTCTCAGTCTTCATGGTGAATTTTTCTAGGCCAGCAATTTTCTCTTCTATGTCTGAGATTCTGTTTTCTGAATGATCTAGTCTGCTTTTAATACTTTCAAGGGAGATTTTGACTTCCTGTATTATAGCTTTCATCTCTAACAGTTCTGTTTGATTCTTTTTTAAAGTATGTAATTCCTATTTTAGATCTTGCAAGAATTTTCTTCATCTCCTGAAACTCCTCAGCTTCTTTCTCCTTTCTCTTCTGCAGTTCATTGTCTTTCTTCTCTTCCATCTCTGTTAGCTTTGCCATTATGAATGTTTTAAATTCTTTATCAGACTTTTTCATGATTTCCATTGAAACTGCCTATGGATGAAGAGGAGAGATATTTTCTTGCTTTCCCATATTTCTTGTGGTCCTGTGGTGATTTCCAGTCATCTGATGGATGTTGTGTTTCTTCCTAATTCTTGAAGTTCAATCTGAACGTTCAGGAGCAAGCAGAAAGAGGTGATCTGGAATCTCTGCCATTCTATTGTGATCACTTTGTGCAGCAGATTCAGTAGATATTGAGGAATATGTTAACACTAATAGTATCTGGAAGTTTAGCTACAGTGACCTTAGATCCATCTAGAAACACAGTAAATAGATATTGAGGAGCAGAGAGACAAAGGGAAAAAAATGAAAAAGAGGGAGAGAAACAACAAAGAAAAAAAGGAAAAAATAAAAAATAAAAAAAATTATAATTATTGTTTTTCTTTAAAAAAACACACAAAAAAGAAAACTTCACCTTAAAAAATTTTAAAAAGGAAAAATTACCCAAAAAATGAGAAGACAGAAGCAGGGAGAGACAGAGACAGAGATAGAAGGCTAGGGGGAGCCCCCTACCACTTTAGCTTGTTTGCTGAAGGCTGAATTATCAGTAGGAAATCTTCATTTCTCTTTTACCCTGAAATCACTACTTTGCAGGAGCCATGAGGAATCTTCTCCTAAAGGCCTGCCTCTTGCCTCCCCTGACTCTGTTTATTTGTTTCTTTAAGAGAGATTTTTGCTATAGGGTTCCTGCATTCACCGGAGAGACAGAGAGAGAAATTACAGAGATATTGAAAGTGAAAAATCACCCTGCTTAGTGGGGATGGCCATACCGCAATTCCTTCCCCTCCATTCTCCTCTGGGATTTTGGGCACATATGCACACGTGCCCAACATGAGTTTCAAGCTGCCGGGTCTGGGACTTGAACCTTGATATAACCAATAACGTAACCACTATGCCATCTGCTGGTCCCATCATGCTGTTTTGATTTCACCGCTTTGTAATATATTTTGAAATCCAGTAGTGAGATGCGTTTTACTTTATTCTTTTTGTACAGTATTGTCTTGGTGGAACAGGGTCTTTTATGATTCTGGACACATTTTATTATTTTTTTTTCCTACTTCTGTGAAGAATATCACTGGCAGTTTTATTGGAATTAGATTGACTTTGTAAATTAATTTGGGTAGAACTGACATTTTGATTATATGAATTCTTTCCATCCAAGAACACAGGATGTCTTTCCATTTCTTTGTATCATTCTCAATTTTATTTTTCAGTTTTTCATAGTTTTCCTTGTGAAGGTTCTTCACCTCTTTGGTTAGGTTTATTCTTAGGTATCTTATTCATATTATGGCTATTATAATTGGGATTGCTTTCTTCAAATTTGTCACAGCCTGTTCATAATTGATGTATAAAAATGCTATAGATTTTTGTATATTGATTTTGTATCCTGCTACTTTTCGGAATTCATTTATCAATTCTAGGAGTAATTTTTGTGGATTCCTTTGGGTTTTCTAAGTATATAATCACATAACCTGTGAATAGGGATAGTTTAGCTTCTTCCCTATCCAAATGCCTTTTATTTTGTTCTCTTACCTGATGGCATTGGAGTGGAGAAACTGGGCAGCTTTTTCTTCTTCAGTTTTTAGTGGTAAAGCTTTCAGCTTTAACCCATTCAGTATGATGTTCATCACAGTGTGTTGGTCATGTATGGCTTTTATGGTGTTGAGGAATGTCCCTTGTTTTCCTTTTTCGTTGATAGTCTTAATCATAAAGGGATATTGTTTTTTATCAGATGCCTTTTCTGCATCTATAGATATGGTCATATAGTATTTTTTTTTTTGGAGAGGTTTTCGCTATAGGGCGCGTGCGCTCGCCAGACAGACAGAGAGAGACATAGAGACAGAAAGCGAGAAATCACCCCCCAGGGTTGATGGTTACGCCGCAATCCCTTCTCCTCCATTCTCCTCTCGGGATCTTGGGCATGCACGCACACGCGCCCGGCGTGAGTTTTAAGCCACCAGGTCCAGGATGCGAACCGCGGTTGACTACGTGAGAGTCCAGTGACATAACCATTACGCTAACTGCTGGTTCCCAAACATTTTATAGAATTCAGAAGTGAAGCTATTTGTACCTGGGCTTTTTTATGTTGAAAAACTATTAATTACTGATTCAATCTCATCACTTGTTATTGGTCTATTCGGGTTTTCTACTTCATCCTGATTCAGCTTGGGTAACTTGCACATTTTCAGAATTTTGTTCATCTCATCTAGATTTTCTAGTTTGTTGGCATATAATCTCTCCTAGTCTCATGTTTTTTTCTTTGTTATTTTTTTTTTCTGGCATATGAATATTACCAGATTTGTTACTGGTTTTATCTATCTGGTTTCTTTCTCTTTTTTGATTAGTCTAGCTGATAGTTTGTCGATTCTGCTTATTCCCTAAAAACCAGCTTTATATTTCATTGATTTTTTTTCGTAGTTTTTTTATTCTCTACTTCATGTATTTCAACTCTAATCTTTACTGTTTCTTTTCTTCTATTATCTCTTTGGGTTTTTTGTTGTAGTTTTTTCAGTTCTTTGAGATGCAATGTTATTTATTTGCCACCTTTTTATTTTTCTCTAGGGAGCACTAATGGCTATAAACTTCCCTTTCATGGCTGCTTTTTTTCTTTTTTTAAAGAATTATTTATTTATTTATTTATTTATTTATTTTGAGAGATTTTCACTGTAGGGCGCGTGCGCTCGCCAGACAGACAGAGAGAGACATAGAGACAGAAAGTGAGAAATCACCCCCCAGGGGGGATGGTCACGCCGCAATCCCTTCTCCTCCATTCTCCTCTCGGGATCTTGGACATGCACGCACACGCGCCCAGCGTGAGTTTTAAGCCACCGGGTCCGGGACACGAACCGCGGTCGACTACATGGGAGTCCAGCGACATAGCCATTATGCTAACTGCTGGTTCCCTATTTGTTATTTTTTAATTTGACCAGAGAGAGAAAGGGAAAGTGAGAAAATAAGGCACCAGGTCTGGGATGCAAACTGCAGTTGGCCTTGAGGAAGTCCAGTGCTTTAACTACTATGCCACCTGCCGACCCTTGACTGGTTTTCTCTGTGTCCCAAAGGTTATGGAGAATGGTATATTCATTACTGTTGGTTTCAATGAATCATTTTATTTCAGTCTTAATTCCTTCAGTAGTTTGAAAGTCATGCAAGAGTAGGTTGTTTTGTTTCCATGTTTTTGTGTATTTCTGAGGGCTCTTTCTGTGATTAATTTTAAGTCTGATTCCTTTGTGGTTGGAGAAGATGCTGATTATAGTTTCTGTAGTCTTGGTTTGGGCTTATCATGTGGTCAGTCTTTGAAAATGTTCCATGTGGAGATGACAAGAAAGTGTATTTTGTAGAGTAGAATGCTCTGTATCTTTCTGTCAGGTCCATTCGTTTTATGGTATCAGTTAGCTTCTTTGTCTCTGTTTATTTTTTTGTCTAGATGACCTGTCTACTGCTGACAGTGGGGTGTTGAAATCCCCAATAATTAGTGTGTTACAGTTTACATCTTCCTTTAGATCTAGCAGTCTTTCTTTTTTTGGGTTCTCTGGCATTAGGTGCATAAATATTTATGATTGTTAAATTTTCTCAGTGTATTAATTCTTTAAAGCCATGTAGTGTCCTCCTTTTTTTTTTTTTTAACCCTTTTAATCCAAAAGTCTTTTGACCTGATACCACCAGTATCTTGACTCCTGCCTTTTTTTCCATTTCCTTTGCATGAAATGACGTTTTCCAGCCCTTCATTTTTAGTTTATGTATATCTTTGCCAGGTATGTTTTTATTTTTGGGTTTTTTTTGAGAGATTTTTGCTATAGGGTGTGTGTGGTCGCCAGAGAGACTGAGAGACAGAAAGTGAAAAATCACTCCTTAGGAGGGATAGGCATGTTGCAATCCTTTCTCCTCTGATTCACCTTTTGGGATTTTGGATATGCACACATAGGCGCCTGGCATGAGTTTTAATCTGCTATATCTGAGACTTGGAACCCCAGTCGATTACATGGGAGTCCAGCAATGTAACCATTATGCCATCTGCTTGTCCCCAGGGATGTTTCTTGTTAGCAGCACATAGTGGGTTCCTCTGTTTTTATCCATTGAGCCAATCTTTTTTATTTAGTTAGGAAATTAAATCTGTTAACATCTAATGTTATCGATTTGTGCAGATTAATCCCTGTCATTTTGTTGCTCTTTTTTTTTTTTTTCTGGTTGTTTTTTGTTTTCTTTATTTCCCTTTAGTTTCCAGGTGTAATGTTCCCTTAAGCTTTCCTGAAGAGTTGGCCTACTTCTGGTGGATTCTTTCAGATTTTGTATATCTGGAAAAATCTTGTTGGGTATAGTATTCTTGGCTGAAATTGTTTTTCTTTCAGAGTTTTAAATATGTCTTCCCAGTCTTACCTTGCCTGCATTGTTTCACTAGAGAGGTCTGATGTTAGTCTAATGGGATAACCTTCGTAAATAACTTATCATTTCTCTCTTATCATTTTTAGAATAAAGTCTTTGTCTTTAATTTTCACCATTTTGGCTGTGATATGCCTTGGAGAGAGGATCTTAAGTTAAATGATGTGGTGTTTTTTGTATTTCCTGGATTTGGATTTCCATATGCCTCTGAATTTGGGAAGTTTTCAGCCAGTATATCATGAAAGATATTTTCTATGCCTTTACCTGTCTCTTCCCCTTCTGGAATGCTATTATGCAAATATTTGGCCATTTCATGGTGCCTAGGACATCCTATCTGTTGATCTCATTTTTAATAGTCCTTTTTTATTTTTCTCAGTTGCTTAGAGTAAGTCAGAAGTTTTATCTTTAAGATCAGAGATTCTTCTTCATGATCTAATCTGCTGTTTGAATATTTCAAGGGAGATTCTGATTTCCTGCATTGTATTCTTTATCTCCTGTAGTTCTTTTTCTTTTTCAGGGTGTCTGTTTCTTTATGGAGTTCTTCCTTCAAGTCAGACAAAGATTTTCTAATCTCCTAGAGTGGGTTGTCTGTTTTCTCTTGCGTTTTGTTGAGTTTAGTTACGACAGATATTCCAAATTCTTTTTCTGACATTTCTATGATTTCCTGTGTTTTATCCATTGTTGGTGAGGAGTTTCTGTGTTCCCTTGCGGGAGAGTATTTCCTGGTTTTCTCATAGTTATTGAGGCTCTGCCGTGATTTTAAGTTACCTGGTGATGTATTTACTTCTTTCTAATTCTTCAGAGTAGGTTTCTATAGCTTTGTGCTCATTTGCTTCCCCTTGTTGTGCGTTAGCTCTGTGCCAGTTTCCCTCTTCTACTGTGGGTGGCAGTGTAGAATTCACAGTGGGAATCTTTTAAAATAATTACAAAAGGAGGATGCTGATATTTCAAGTTTATTGTAAGCAAAAGATGATTATTTCTAGACTTTTAGAAATGTTTAAAATGTTTCTCATTTATTTCATCATATTAAGGGAACTTACTTTTCTTAGAAATTGCTGTATGTTAGTCTACGTGACCTAGTTTATGGGTTCTTTAATGAGGAAAAAATTATAGAACCTGTTATTTAACACTGAAGATCCATTTTCAGATATTCTTTTTGTTTGTTTGTTTGATTTTATATATTGTCTTAATTTGACCAGAGAGAGAGAAAGTAAGAAAGCAAGGATTCTAGGTCCAGCATTTGAAGTGTGCTCAGCCATGTAGGAGTTCAGCACCTTAACTACCACCCCATCTGCCAGCCCGTTTTTAAATATTCTTAAGCCTTTAAAAAAAAAAAAAAAAGAAAGATACTGGCCTTGTAATCGAAAATATTACATTAATGAGTTAAAAATCTAAAGTTCAATAGAATAACTTTCAATAAAATGTGAATTACATTACAGATTCCAACTGAGAAAGACACAGAACTAGGAAGAGAAAGGTACGTTGGTTTATGTTTGCTAACATTTTTTTGTATACTGGATTGTCAGAAAAGTCATGGTATATTTTCCTGTTTTTCTATGCAAAAATGTGTTATGCCTTTTCCAGAGACCCATTAGAATTAATTACTGAATTTTATTTTGTATTTTATAGTAATTGTTCATGTGTAGCAAAAGCTTGTATCTTACATAATTCATGTTATATATGTGTGGACTTTACTGTGGCTTTCTTTTTGACTTCTCTTTAAACAAGCCATTTTTGTTGTTGTTGTTGTTGTTTTATATATATATATATATATATATAAAACATATATATATATATAAAGAGACTTATTTTCAGAAATTGCCTCATGCAATTGTGAGGTTGGCAATTTAAAACCTATAGGGAAGTCTCGCACCCCCAGGGGGGATGGTCACGCCGCAATCCCTTCTCCTCCATTCTCCTCTCGGGATCTTGGGCACACACGCACACGCGCCCAGCGTGAGTTTAAGCCACCGGGTCCGGGACTCGAACCGCGGTCGACTACGTGGGAGTCCAGCGACATAGCCATTACGCTAACTGCTGGTCCCTGTTGTTATATTTTTTAATGTCATTCAAGTAATAACTAGTCGTTTGGAGAAATTGCTTGTATAAACACAAAATAAAGTATTCAAACATGACTCCTTAATAAAATATTTAAGATTGTTGAACTATCCAACTCCAGGATTAGTATTATTTTCTTTTTGTTAGATTTTACTATTCTAAAATAAATGAAATAGTTAAATTTTAGTCTTTTAAAATTTTATAAACTTGAAACACAAAAATAATTTTTAGTGTGTATTTTGGTGCTTTTTAAAAACAGTAAGGAGAGAATGAATGGACATTTGATTTGTTTTTTAAAAATTACACTGCTTTGAATTTTCAGAGGTAAAAGCTTGTTTTTCAGAGTTTATAAAAACAAGTCACTCACAACCTTGTTTTGACCACAGGCATAAGGGGACTTCAAATTCTAAAATTTATGGAAAGTAGAATTAAAGTATATGTTTATTTTTAAAAAGTCTTGAAATCTACATGTAGTTTTTAATAATACATATTTTCCACAATCATTTGGAGATACCTGTAGTACACCCTCTCCTTAGTAAATTCTCATTCTGTGGGGGTACCCTCCTTGCCATTTCCTTTGTCCCACCAACTAATAACTTTCCCTGCTTTTCATTGTTAGTCACTGATTTTGAATATTTTTCTTCCTCATGTATTAATTGGTTCACTGAGATTGTTAGGCCATGTTATAGAGCACATAAATTTGAAACAGCAGTTTGAGAATGTTTAAATGTGCAAAGTGTTTATTTTAATTCATTAATTTTAAGATGCCTGAAGAGCAGAATGTCTTCTAGATTTTTCTTCTCAGTAATTAAGTTTAGTATAATTGGATTTTTAGATGATAAAAATGATTTTGAGTATATTAAAATGTGTTGGTAATTTAAAGTGATAACTATGCTGTATGTGTTAGACTTTAAGTTGTATATTATGTCAGTTATGTTCACATTACTAAGAAATAATACTACCAGCAATGTTTTATATAAAAGCCACAAAGAGCTTAGTAAATAATGCCACATGTAGTAAAGTTAGATCTACAATTTGGCCACGTAACTCATGACTGATTAGCATACAGGCTTTTCCAAAGATCCTTTTTATATATTTTGATAAAGTTTCTGTGAAGTCTACATGAAAGCTGTTTATAGAAGAGGGAATTAGTCATTGGTCATTATTTTCCTCTCATTGTTTAGACTAATCTTTTAAAATCACAATATTTCTTAATGATTTATAGGTCAGTTTCATCTAATTAATTTTTAAAGCACTAATAATTTCTTAATTCCAATTTTGCAGCCAGTTTCTTTCTGACTTACAGGACATTAGATAAAAAAGATGTGGGATATGGTCAGAATATTTCACGTTTCTTTTGTAGTAAATTGATGCTGAGGAAATACTTTTTTTTTTTTTATCTAAGCATTTGTGTTTGCCAATTCATCGTTAATATGACCTTTTGTTTAGAATTAATGTAAACTATTTAAATAGATTTTCTACTTAGAGGAAATCTCATGTAGATATCAGTTATATAATAATCCACGTTATGCTTGTATTTAATACTGCCTCCCCATGTAAACATGATTTATTTACCAGGTGATTAAAGCTTTAAATAAAGATGTTAGATGAAATTGTTCGTAATTTGTTCATGTTGGGAAGCACCCAGTGAGTCTCTGAAATAAACACTACTCTTTAGTATTGTGAAGTCCCAGTGTAATGTTTCTTGAGATATGTGTCTCATGGTATTAACCTTTGTACTCATGCCCAGGTTTTATTGTATGCTTTTTCTGAAGGTTGTGAAATGCTAGTATTTGCGGTTATAGGGATGGGATAGGGAAGTGGGAAATTAGATACCTGAATTCTGAACACCTTCCTGCCATCCTTTTTTTTTTCTTTTTTTTTTTTTATGCTGTTTCTACAATGTGACTTTTTCTTAGATCTTTGAAAAGATTGGTTGTTTAGCTTTATTATTAATAAATGAGATGTATTTGATACTTCAAACTGACTTTACAAGTTAATTTAATTAATACTGAAGCAAATTCCCATATTAGGCAGAAAGTAAATACTGATTTTTGTTAAGTCATTTCTGTGAAGAAAGCACTATAATTTTAAATACCAGCACACAGGTTAAGTATGGAATTAAACCATTTATCCAAGTAAGTCTGTATTCCTCCTCTTCTAATGTAGAATTGCATGATTCTGTTTTGTATAAAGTACCTTTTTTTTAAATTGACAAACTTTAAATATCTAAGATGGAAAGTCTTAAACTGTATCCTTGAACCAAGAATCAGTAACCCTTCTAGTCCTAGACATGTTTTTGTATAGCCCTAATTTGTAAAGCCTTTAAGGTTAATAAGCGATTCAGTATTGTGGCAGGAATTTGAATTTATTCTTCATTACTGGAAATGAGTCTTGTAATTTAAAATAAAAAGCTTACATTTTGAGAAATAATGTTCACATAACTGCTGTAACTGACTGTTGTTACAGCTTTATCATATTTGTGTTTGGTCACAGATTTTATTTTGTAGTCCTATGAATTTGGAATAGTTAAATCAGCATTTTGGTATTTTTGAATATAAAGGATATAAGTTGTTTCAAATAATCTTTTCAGCATATAAAGGGTAGCTTGCACAATGAGTACAATCCATAGTAATTGTAAGGCTGTTCACCTTAAAAGAAATTCTTTAATCTCATTGCCATTTTAACTTTTGATTAAGGAAGTGTTTCTCTGGTTTTATAAAGACAATTTCTCATTTGGAAGTTTATAAACTCATTGTTGGAGAAGGAGAACCATTTTATTGGCTCACATGACTAGACTCTGATGTGATAGGGCTTAGTTTTTCCAGTTTTCTGAAATATGACTTAACATCTCAAGACAGAGATGCATGTCATCTTGCATTGTTAACTGAAGGATGTATGTCCACTCTTTGAGAAGTATGTCAAGCGGATGGCTCATCTCCTTCTTCCTTGAAAATAGGAGAAGGGGGCCAGTATTCTGTAAGATGTTTATATGGTTTATCACTTTCCAGTATCTTTCTGCAATCTGCTGCTTCTGTAATTATGTGATTATATCTGTTAAACTTCCATTTGTGTTCATAGTATGCTGAACACTATCTTTGGAAACTCAGATTTTTCTGTAAGATAGCTTCAGGTCTCTTTAACATTAATAGAAAAATAGTTTATTCCATCTCTGCCTCTCTTACAGTAATGAAATCATAGAATCACACCCTTTTTAAAATTTGGATTTGGGAAGACCATGATGAGATAAGATTAATTACATGTATTTAGTTCTACATTTCCCCTGTTCTTTCTGAATGTTATTTAAACCATTAAGTTATATATTAGCATTTTATATGATGCTCTATAACTCAAGGTTTCCTTACAGTGTATTCCTTCTTATAATATAGCCAAATGGCAAATGTTGCGTAAAATTATATATATTCATGTTAAGGTGATTCTGTAATTCCACGTCAAATATTAACTCTCCAACTGAGCACTTAAAGGATACTTCCAAATAAATTTTCTTTAGGTATTGACAGTAATACATAACAGTTCTTGGGAAATTAAAAACAAATCTGTTTCACATCTTTTTTCTTTTTTTTTTCTTTTTTCTTTTTTCTTTTTTCTTTTTCTTTTTCTTTTTTTTAAAAGTAATGATAGTTAAGAGTGTAGCCTTTTCTCCCTGCCAATTTCTGTTACGTTCTTTTTAAAAGGTCATGTTCACTCATAAAATTTTAAATTTCAACACAGGGATCATTAGTTTTAGTGTAGAACTGTACACATATTTTTATCATTTCAGTTAACAAGGTTAAAAGGATAAGGCCGGATGATAATCAAAGGTGTCCCAGAGTTACATTTGGCCTTTTATTGGTTATAACTCAAACAAGTAAAAGGACCATATTGACATCCACAGTTTTGCCACTGCTTCCTTTTAATTAAAAAGAAATCTTCAGTAAGATGGAGGATTTCTTGAAATTTTATGTTTTTTAACTGTTTCTATCAAAACATCTTAACCTTCTAATGCTGATTGGCTGGATTTCCCAGTGCTTGTTACTAATGCATCAGGAAGTCTTAACAATTCACATCAACAGGATTATTTATAATGGTTGAATTCTCATCATAGTTTGATTTTTGTTTGTGTTTTTGTTTGTGTTCTTTTTTGTTTGTTTTTAAATACTTATAGCCCTGACTTGAAAAACAGTCCAGTTGGTGAAAGTGAGGTGCAAACAGCAGCTGATAGTCCCTCTGTTAAACCTAATGAAATTGAAGAAGAAACTACTCTCAACATTCAAACAGAAACTTTGGTT